TTCGATAAGACCTGGCGACATAACATTCTGAGACAGCTATATAACTGGCAAATAAGAGGATATCTACCAAAATTCATATCAGCTTCCTTAGTACCAGTTTTTCAAAGTTCGCGTTGGGCAGTCCTATCTCAGAAAGCCACGTACTAGAGAACGGTGTACCGCAAGGTTCTCCATTGAGTGCACGCTCTTTATCAATAGCGATTAACGGGGAAATGGGGTTTGAACGGCATAAGAAGCGTCAATAGGAAAATGCATGTATGTAGATGACATTTGCTATATTTTACTCAGCCAAACTCTGGGAATCGGTCAAATTCAAAATGCAAAATTGCCATCAATAAATTAGTAGCAGAAAGCAAAAAGACATTGGTTTTTCATTTACAGCAGACAAAACGAATTGCGTCCACTTCAGTCGGAAAAGAAAAAGTTACAAGAGATCTGAGCTGACTGCTGAAGGTGTTCAAACTGCATACAATGAAACGGCAAAATTCCTTGGCTTGATTTTTGATAGGCATTTAACATGGACACAGCATATAGAAATATACCTTGCGTAGATGCAAAAAAGCTCGATGTAATAAAATGCATTTCCATATAAATTGGGGAGCAGATAGAGGAACATCTTACTGGCCTGTACAAATACAGGTGATGTCCAAAATAGATATGGATGTGCAGTGTACTCCTCAGCCAGAAAATCAATTTACAGGAAACTAGACCCCGTTCACAATGCAGGCTCCGATAATGCATCTGGCGCGTTCCGCACTAGTCTTCCCTCAAGCTCTATGTGAAACCAGCACCATGTCGCTAGCATCACCGAACGACAAACAATGCTACTGAATTATAGATCAAATTGCTGTCTCTACCGAAACATTTAATCAACCATTGATGATCTCGACCTAAGCTAGTAATATTTACGATCAAAAGACCTTCAGCAACTCGTCAGCCAACATCCGCGCAATCGAGATAGCCAAGTCTACAACATCGTCCTACCCACCAGTTTTGAAACCGAACCATAATGAAATTCCAGTTTGGATGTTGAAATGCAGAAGTAAGACATCGATACTACCAGTATAAAGAAAACAGAATGCCTCCCCATAGATTTAAACAGGTCAGATTTCAATCAGTTCTCGAAGAATACAATGAAAAATCACATCATAATCTAACACAGATGGTTCAAAAAAACAAAACATCAGGTCGGAAGCGATTTGTAAACTGAGAACTTGTCGAAGGGGCTTGGGCACTTTCCACCTGAAGCAAGTGTGTAACACTGCCCGATTATATGCAAGTATTGCAGTCTTTGCGACACTGTGAAAACTCTCGATTCAGAAGGTTCGTCATCTGCACAGATTCTCTAGTCTCTCACTGGCAATTACAGGTGCCAAACTGTAGAATCCACTGCTACAAAGAATTCTCATAGCATGCCATAAATTAGAGCAGCGAGGAGCATCAGTTACGTTTCATCTGGTGCCCTGGACACTTGGTATCCTAGGCAATGAAGAAGCGATTCTGCCGCACGAAATGCCGGAACCATCCAATCAGAAATGGATATTGAAATACGACCTCAGATCAAGAAATGCTGTCTCGAAGTGCATCCTCAAGAATGGCAGACCTCGTGGAACAGTCTTCACACGAAAACTACAACCATTAAACAAAATATCAAGTAAATGGTCACCAATGTCAGCTACCTCGACGAAAGAACAAGTGTGTTTTAACACCGACTAAAATAGGCATGCAAAATGACTTCTTCATATTGTTAAAATGAAGAACAACCCATCTGCAGCTGCGGAAGACTTCTGACAGGTGAAACATATTCTGACAGACCTGGTAGTCTTCAAGACTGAAACGGATGCGGCATGAAGAGGCCAACATGAAGATAATCTTCGGCACGACAAGAACCGCAACTGCCAAAACAATACAGTTCTTTGAAAGGAAGGCCAAACTTTTTCTTTTTACAGTCTTGAAAGAAGCCAAACTTTTCCTCTTCAAATTTAGGTATTTAATATATGATTAAATCATAACATTGATCAAGTAAAAAGGCTAAAGGCCTTTAGATGCTCTGGCCTTGCAACTACAAAAAAAAATAATATTAATAATAATAATATAATATAATAATTAATAATAATAATAATATAATAAATAATAATAATAATAATGATTTGTGTTAGGTTTTTAACACAAATAAATATAAAAAATTTAAGTTTAAAAAAAAAAAATAAAAAATAACAAAAAAAAACAAAATAAAAAAAAAAAAAAAAAAAAAAAAAAACCAATAAAAAATAAAAAAAAAAAAAAAAAACAAAAATTTAAAAATTATCTTTTTTTTTTATAATTTAATATTTTTTTCCCCCGTGAAAGCGCAGGGCAAAATAAGTTTCTATCGGAGGCCCATTAAGCTCCTTTTCTCTGAAAGTAGGTATGGCTAATATTGAACAAAAAAAATGTTTGCTCAGACAGCCATTAATACAGTTTTTCTTTCTATCAAGTACGTGGACAATATAATTATTATTAAATATTGAGAAGGAGAAACATTCCTATAATTTTAAAAGAACTCTTAAAAATGACAAACAATGAAGATAAATCTTATACTTAATTTGAATTAGAAAAAGAAGACAGAATTAATTGGATTACGTTCATGTTGCAATTTTTTTTTTTATTTTTTTTTTTTTTTAAGACATAATATTATTAGAAACAATGTACAATTGCCTCGGATATTCATGTTACGCTCAAAAGCGGATTATGAGAACTAGCTTTTCCAGTGATGATGATACTTGGAAATTAATTTTTATTGTCATTATGATCGCAATCTGTGGATGAAAAGTGGACTTGTTACTCTACTTATAAATAATTTTTAATCACACATAAACCACATAGAATAAGTATTAAAAATTTTTTAATTAA